GCCTGATTCATGAAAGTTTATTGCCTCAAAACAATGTGGCTATACTTAATAACTAATTAAGCTAAACCAAAAAATGCTGTAATGCCAAAGGCAATGGGGACTGTAACAGTGTCCCAGGTCCCACTCCACTAGAAATGAATGCTTTTTCCAATTCGGGCCAAGTCCATAAAAGGTTGATCAAAGGCATGTACACGTATGCTAGTCTACAAATGAGATCCAAACTCAAAAAATCAGGCAACAACACCTGATGCTGGGAGAAGACCAGCTGGTTATCAAATGCTTTCATTAGCTTATCCATGCGCATTAAAAAAGCAACAATTAGTACCGATTAAGAAAGATTCTCACCAAAAAAGAATAAAAGATACAACCTAGGCAAGCGTCATCTATCACGTGAGCTGATTTATAATTGCGTTAAAAAATAGAATGTACATGTATCGTCAAAATTTTGCTATAATTTATAATATTTTAAGCAAATAAAGGCCAAATGCATATGTCTTATATAGTACTTTCCCATGATGTGGAATTAATATTAAAGGTAAGAATAATTATGCAAATAGTAAAAAATAATGTATGAATATTAAACTGACCTGCCATATTAACTTCAAATAAAAATCAGTTCTGATAACAAAGTCAGTTATACTTGTGGGCCAAGCACATGCGTACAATTATGTCACGTATTCTCTCATGGAATTCAAATCCCACATCAGACGTTCGCCGTGACATTTTCAGTTCTATAATAACAATAGTATCTTCAATAACGATAATAGCTATAATAACAATATAATATAATCTTATTTACTGACCATCAAAAGGTAGAAATTTCCCACATCAAATCCTAATGATACTCAATCTCTGGTATATCCCTCTAATGATGGAAGGCTATCTTTAAGATAATCGTTCAACATCTAACACAAAAAAATGTCAATATCAATATTATGAGGATTACAATTGAGTTTATTTAGTAAACCACAATTACCACAAACTGGTTAAATTAAATTCCCATAATTGGGTTCAACAAAATGACACAATGCTTATAAAAAGTTAAAACATTCACCTATAAATATAATTTTCTTCTCAGTAGTTTTTGAAGTAGTTTTGTGCCCACTATGTCGTGCCCCATCTCTTGCTGGACAAAGACGCTAGCTAGTCTTGCTAGCATTAAAGTACTTTATCTAAAATGAAAAATAAAATAATCATCTTAATTTTTCTTAACCCACTCTCCTACTTGGCAAAGTATCTAGCGGATTCTTTTAAAACTTCTTCCACAATCCAATCATGAAGCCTTAGCCAATTTAATCAGTGCAGCTGCTAAACATTAATAATAAACAAGTCCCATGAATGAATAAAAATTGCGGTAGCCCACATACTCAATAAATAATGGCTGGATCTGATGCCTCCAAAATTGAGGTCATCTCTCCTAAATCGCTCCTAAAAGATTCTTCTTCAGAAAAATTTTATCATCTCCATCTTTACCATCATGTTAGCCACGTGCGACGCGTGAGTACACAATGGCGGGGTGGGCCAGGAATCTACTGCGCATGCGTAGAGTCACTAATTGAATTTATTGCAAAGACTCCTCCAATTCATGAACATACATTAAGCAGTATCAATTAAACCACATATGCAACCCTGCATACCCGGTACTGAGAACTACTGCTTGGAAAAATTTGGCATCAATGGGAACAATGCAGTCCCAAAATTTAAAAGCAAAAATAGCTGACAAAATGTCTACAAAAAATTGATGCTCACTGACGTCACTTCCTTTGAAAAAATAAATGCAGCATAACAATAATAAAAATTTTATAAAAATAATAATGCTACAGTATCAGCTAGCTCCTCATGTTAATGAGCCTAGAACACTAGTAGACTACCTAATGAAAGAATTCTTGTATTAGTGCATGCATTTGGGTTCTGTACACTTAACGACCCACAAACTAAACAATCCACAAACTTTAATATCACATTAAATACACATGCAGGAGTCCATGAAAGATTCATTTTCCTCCTCATTATGGACTACAAGTATTACTTGTACATAGGTGTATAGGAATGATTCGAAAGTTAGGGGAGCTGAAGGGGGCTGAACATAAAAACATCTAAATATGTACTGTCATGTGCAGTGGCGTAGTTAGGACTTTAGTGATGGGTGGGCCCACCGACGGAGTAAAAAGAGGGGCGCGCGAAGCGCGCCGAAATTTTGGGCCACGCCCACTCTGGGGCGCGTATATAGCGCCCGCTGATCATATTTCGGCCATTTTGCGTATAGTCTAATAATAATTAGCCAGCCTATGGCATGCTGAGCAAATCTAAAGCCACACATTAACTATGGTAATAACTAAAACAGGTTTAATATTGAAGCAAAAGCCAGAATAATGCCAGTTGGCTGAACAGGACTAAAGATGTGACTAGATAGCAATATCTGCAGGCGTGTGACTATTTAATGACAATGCCGAAGTAGTAGATGACGAGGAAATAAGTGAATTGGAGGAAAGCGATTAAGAATGGCAGGAGCTCGGACTAGACTCACCAGCTGCACGACTAGAAAGATCTGGATCAAGTTCATGACCAGCCAAAGACCCTACTTCCTTGTCACTGTCATTAGTTCCACCAGTAGCTTCACAAATAGTCATTTGTCCTTCCATTCTTGCTACTTTTAGAAAGAAGTAATCATCAAGCGAAGATCTCCTCTGGTTGCCATCATGAATACATGTGGTAATTTATATTGATTAATTATTTAATAGTTATTAATAAATGGAAAATGATGGGTGGGCACAGGCCCTGCTGGCCCAACCCTAGCTACGCCACTGGTCATGTGTGCTCTCGACAGCTACTGCATGCCTAAACAGTTACTACATGCCTAATTCCTGCCATTTGTTATTGCTACATCATGCCCATTTAACTGAATGATGAGTTTCAAGCTAATAATAACCTACTAACAACTTGAAACGAGACACCAAAGGTGCGTGGCCTCGCCCCTAAAGCTGTTTGGGATGTGTTATGCTTAGCTAGCCTAAGCCAGTACATTTAAATGATATAGATTAAAAGTGCTGACAGCCTGGACTAAGCAAGTGTGAAAAGTATGATGGGACTCTAGAATCCCAAAAATTGGTAAAACGTGTTCATAAATTCCCATTAGCATCTCAAGATTTATCACTTATTTATACACTATATTTATACTTATTGCACTCTCATTTTAAAAACATCATGGGTTTCATAACCACAGCTATTGTTGTGGCCACAATTTATCAAAAACATGCTATGCAAAAAAATTAGAAATTGTGCTTTTGAGGCCAAGGAATTATCATAACAGCTAGCTTTCTAGCTGCAGTTACACTAGCTCTTGCATGCTTGCAGAACTGGCAAGCTGCAGGGCCAACTCCCAGCTTGGTCCTGCTTGGAGGCGTGGCATTAATGCAGCAAGACCATGTGAGAGGGAAGCTTCACGTTTTTTCTCTTCTTCTAAGCACTATACATAGGCGGCTGCAGGGTCGGGCATTTAGGGGCAATGCCCGACCAAAAATTCTGACCGGAAGTGTGACATCACCATAATTAATAGTTATTCTATGGTTAATTAATAGTTAATAACAGTTATTGCAATTATAATTTCAATTTTTTATGAAAATCTTATAATTATGAATGCATAAATGGCAGGCTGATAACAAGGTGATGAAGAGAGACTAAATAAAGGAGGAGGTGGTAAGACTTTGGTGCCAATCACAGTGGGCCACCACAGCAACACTAGAAAGCATAATCATTTCATTATTTAGTGCTATTTCAGTGTTCTTTTTTTGTCAGTTGCAATGTCTAAAAGCCTGGACAAGCTTCACAGGCTATGTCCTTTGTGAACAAGCCTGCTAAAAAGGAACAACAGTTTACAAAGTGAACCTAGTAAGTACAGTATAGAAGTCAATAATACAGATTATCTCATATTCTTACTTTAGGCCAGTCTCTTGCTGAATCAGTTGATGATCATGAGTCTCAGTCTACTCTTGTGGTTGATACAGCTACAGTTTTTACAGCTACAATTGATGTACAGTCAATTGTTGCTCATTCTCCATCACCCTATTCTACCTCCTCTACTAATACTACTACTAGTACTATTACCACTACAGAAGTCAGTGTTGGAGCTACACCACCCACTACTTTATTACAATAACCTTCGCTACCAAAAAATTGCGCTAAAAAGGGTGCGTAAAAAGGGTGTGGCCAAAATCGCGGCGCGCTTCGCGCGCCCAACCCATTTCCTGTGCCACACCCATGCCCGACTAGTAGTCAAATCCTGCAGCCGCCTATGGCACTATATGATGTTATAATGGCACAAATACTGTTGCCTAGATAGATTGAGTGACTTAAGAGAGTTTAGGATCCTTAGACTAGCCATGGACTAGCGAACTACTGCTACAGCACTTTACTCGGGATGAAATTCGAGTAGCTATAACTCACCAAAAAGGAAGATTTAAAGAGTCCCACACATATTAAATAAATAAATAGTCTTGATCTACTGGGAAAGAGTCTCATTTACATCCAGAGTACTACCGCTATTGCTGGGCATTTTCTCGTGAGTTAAAAAGCTTGTACTACCTAGAGCTCAGTGTTCTCGAAACATCTCGAAGCAGTAAAGCAAGACTTTTCCTAACAGAAGAGAAGCTCTCACAGGTTTAGAGCACGCGATTGTAAAGATATACATTCTCAAAGACAAAATCTAGCACACAGAATGAATGAACGAGAGCACTAAAGTGCATACCCTCGCCACAGTCTGTGTGTCACAATTTTAATAAATTAAGAGAAAAATAATTAGTGAAAGTTTTGACACAGAAAAGAAGCTTCAGCATGTAAAAACTTAGTGAATGTTTTGAGACAGTGATTTTTTTTGTTTTTTAGACAGAGAAGAAGTTCCAGCATGCTTGCTGCACTGCTGCAGCAATGTAAAGGTGTGGCTGCAACGAAGGTGTGGCTCAATCAAGCCATGCTCCACCATACACACCCAAGAGTTACCATGCATGATCCGTGAATGATGGGTATCAGGCCTGGACCAGGTTTGATTCTATAACGGTCCAGCATCGACGGCCATCACTGCTGAATCGAGGCTGTTGCTCTGGCCTGGACCAGTATCTATTTCAGTCCCGATGTAGTCATAGCTGATACAGTAATGTCTGTTCGTCAGCACTGGTCCAGGCTGTATATCAGTACTGGATCAGATCGATGCTTTTCAAGATGGCAGCCCCGCGTGGACTATCTGACATGTTTTGTTAAAGAAAATCATCTTAATCTGACTCTTTAAGAGGAATCTTGTTGGCTGTATACACTAGGGCTAAATCACTGGATGTTATGTGAGTACTGTGAACTACATTAAATGTTATACTATTTTAAGGCTATTTTGAACCATTTATTACTTAAACATGAGTAGGATACACGATATTTTGAGTAAAAAGTAGGCACATGTAGATACACAATCAAGCTAAATAAATTAATTGAGCAGATACATGACTGGAAAATAAAACGACTGACACCTTCCAATTAAAGTTTACCACATCTTGCCTACAAAATCTCTATGATACAAAAGTAAAGACCTGGGTTTACGAGGAATTATCAAAGGGGTATAAACTGCATGAACAAACTTATAATAAATTTAGGCTAATTATTATTGTGAGATTAATGACTTCAGTTTAATTGACTATAATTAGAAGTACATACCTTTCATTATGGATTCTCCGTTAACTTTCTAGTATTGAGCCTAGCATTGAAACAGAGCCAGAAGACCTTTCTGCAATAAATCATGACACTAGTGAAGACGATGAGAAATCAGGCGTAAAAATGGTTCACTACATGTGATTGTAACTATGTTTTTAATTAGAGTGGATGTATTAGTGATCATGATGATAAAGATATTGTACTGAGAGACTTATGAATGATAGTCACAAGTGTGGTAAAATAGTTTATTGATTATGTGTGTAATTGTTACTTTTCCTTAGAATTTTTGATGCGGAAGATTATTCTGGAAATATTAGTATAGTAGGTGCTCCTTTAATTCATATTAATTTATTAATTTAGCAAGGCCACTAGTATACATTCTATAGTTACCTTATCTCACTAAGTTTCAAGACAAGATAATCTTAGGTTTGTTTAATTTCATGTGAAAAGCTAAATTCATTATTCAGGTTGTGATGAACTGAAACTTTCTTGTTTAAAGCTCTTGTTAAGGTCAGTTTAATCATAGTGTTTTAATTTATTATCATCATTTGTCATTATAGTTCACTTCAAATAGCATTGAATTTTTTTGTGAACCTGCCTTCATCATGCTGGTTAAGGAAGGTATGTGTTCCTTTGCTTATGTAGAATTTATGCCTCATTATAGTTATGTTATGGAATTAAGCTTTGTAGGACTATGTGTGACAAGATACCTTTGAAAGATCTGCTTCACTACATGGAACCCGAGAGTTCATTAATGTTGGAGATTTTGGGAAATTAATTTCTCAGTAATGTAAGTTTATTATTTTAGTGCCTTCTTAATTTATGGCTCTTTAGGTGTCTTAAGTTACAAAACATGAAGTGTCTTACTTGTGGAACATTGGTAGACTATGATAAAGAAAACAATTATAATCTTTTTTTGTTTTAATAATAATTTCAAATCATTTTAAATTAATAATGAATAATAATTAAGTATTAATTGAACATAACAGGAAGTACGTCATAATGAGGCTTAATGAATATCGTTATCGTTGTCGGATCAGGTCTGGCACCAGCATAAATCGTGGCTGATTCGTCAATATCGGATCAGGACATTGCCCCAAATCCTCGGTCCAGGCTCGATCATCAGTAATGATTCAGGCCTGTATCAGGACTGGTCCATGTTCCAACTCTTGGGCGTGTAGATATTTACTCATTTACTCTATTATCTATGGCTCCACCCGCACACACAGTAATGGTGGCACATGGCTCTAAGTGGTGAAGAAAGCTTTAGTTTTTCTCGACTTTTAAACAGTTTAGCATACATTTGTTAGGCTCTATTTGTTGCATACAAACGTCTATTGAGCCCCTGATGTTTAAAGACTCTGGCCGCTACTTCGGGAGAAGAGAGCCTCGTGTAGGCTCACAAAAGTATGAATTTTTGGGCTACCATATCTTTAAAACGAAGATGATTAGAGCAATTCCTCTCATATTAATGAAAGATGAGGCTTTGCTTTATTGTTTTATCTGCCAAGTTGCTCTTTTGCCCACACTATGAAAAAG